CATCCATGACTGTCTTTGCTGTTTGTATGTATTGGGTTAAATGATGATCTCCTGACACCTTGCTGACCTTGAATCTTTATTTTCACGGTAGACTGTGTTCCAAGCATTAAGCAAGTGTCAATGCAAGGGAGTATATGTTACCTGTTTCTCAATACAACTGTAGTAATGACACCACTTCAGTTCCGTTTGAACAGTGTAATAATGGACTTTAGGGTGTGTCAGGATATCTCTAACCAGCCCAATGCATACATACAGCGCTATCCTTCATAAATGTTACTATCTCTCAGTACACTAAAGAAATGACATGAGTCCAGGGGCGTCGCCAAAGGGTCAGGATATTGTCGGTTAAATTGCGATGCCGTCGGGAAAAAGAGAAAAAGGGGAGGGGAAAAAAGAGAGGGAAAAAAGGAGAGGGAAACAAGAGAAGGAAAAAAGAGAGGGAAAGGGAAAGAAAAGAAAAAAAAGGAAACAAAAAGAAAGAAAGGAAAAGAAAGGAAAGAAAGGAAAAGAAAGGAAAGAAAAGAGAAGAAAGAGGGAAAGAGAGGGAGGAGAGGAAAGAAAGGGAAAAAAAAAGAAAAGAAAGAAAAGGAAAAAAGAAGAAAAAAGAGTGAAAGGGAAACAAAAGAAACGGGGGATGAAAGAGAGGAGAGAGAGGTAAGAGTATGAGGAAGGAGGAGTGGGAGTAAAAGAGAGAAGGGGGTTGTTGGATGGAGTCGTCTCGTCGAGAGAGCAAGAAAGACTCGGGTAGATATGTTGCTGTGTCGGCTCAGCTGTGTCGGTATTCTTGCTCGATCCTCGTGTACTATATCAATGCAGAAGTTTGAAGTCGGTGAGATGTATATTGTCGGTCGGCCGACAAGATTTTTTTTTCCCTACGAACTGTGACTTCCTATCCGCTGTGGCGACTTCGACAGTGACTACAACTACAATACTTGTATTTTCTCGAAGTTCCACTTTCCTATAACATCAGCTAAAGAAATCAGAGGTTTAAAATTTTCAGGGAAACTAAATTCAAACAAGGTTTAAAAGTCAACAAAGTAACGACATATCGTCTTCCTTTCTTCATATTGTGATAAAACGCCAAAGCTTTCGCGCTTCGCGCGAGAGGGGAAAACTGAAATCAGATGAATAGGGCAAATAAAATTCGAAAACAGTACGAGGAATCGTCTTCCTTTCTCTATATTGTGATGAAACGCCAAAAATTCCGCGCTTCGCGCGGAATGGAATAACTACATTTACACGAGTCGGGAACGGTACAACAAATCGTGTTCTTTCTCTAATAATTTAAGGAAACGTCAAAGCTTACGCGCTTCGCGCGAGAGGGGGAAACTGAATTCAGATGAATAGGGCTCATTAAGATTTGAAAACGGTACGACGAATCGTCTTCTTTCTCTAATAATTTAATGAAACGTTAAAACTTCCGCGCTTTGCGCGGGAGGGGGAGAAACTGAATTCAGACAAGGATTAAGAGTCGAGAACAGTACACCAAATCGTCTGCTTTTTCTCATAATTTAATGAAACGTCAAAGCTTCCGCGCTTTGCGCGGGAGGGGGGAACTAAATTCAGAAAAAAGATAAACAGTCGAGAACGGTACAGCAAATTGTCTTCTTTTTTATAATATTTTTATAATAATTTAAAGAAACGTCAAAGCTTCCGCGCTTCGTGCGGGAGGCCCATTACCCACAACCCCCTAATGAGCGCGCTTTTAAGTTATTCTCTTTCTCACTACCGCCCCTCCCTAAAATAAGATCCTAGCTCCGCGCCTGCATTGAAATATATAGCTATGATGCTGACTAAATTGAAGAAATAATTCGTATATTTATGTCGTCGAGGAAAATGACCATTTTTCGCTTATGCAAGTACTAGAGATAGTCTATATGAAAAACAATTTAGGCTCCCGCCTAGGTTTATGTTGAATTTGTAGATATTGAACATTTAATTTTGTCGGTAATTGGTGGCTAGTTTTGTCGGTCATCGTTGGCCTCTACACCCCCCCCCCCCCCCCGCCCCACTGAAAAAGGTCTAGCGACGCCCCTGCATGAATCTTGTGAAGTTTGAAATGTAGCACATTGTCTTCAAAGTGTGCTTATCCAAGCATGTCTTGACGGATACCTCTGATTAATAAACAAAAGTTATATAGGAACCACAGGCATAGTTCTTTTTAGGTAAATTCGTTCAAAACTTGGCGGTTAAACATCTGTGAGGAGTTGCTCGGGGGGACTTACTTTTTTGCTGTGTCTAGTTAAACCATATTCAATGTGTTTAGGCGGTTCCTGTACTGAGAAAGAATATATATCATGCTACATTCCTTGCAGTAAGCACACTTATATAAGTAATGAAAATCGTCACCGAAAATGTGTGCAGTACAAAAAATACATAACCTATTATGTCTAGGAATACTCTCATATCGTCTTTTTCACAGGGTTACAAAACATCTACGTGAATTTACTCCATCTTTTTTATCAAGCTGTTCCAAGTACGGTTCTAAACATGAAAATCTTTGAAAATCCTATAATCCGTACATTGACTATTTTCAAACATCTCTCTGTGCAAATTATGTTTGTCTATATCTTTTAGCGTAATTCAAGCGCACTTTTTCAGCCATGTAGTGTGAGAAGGAGAGAGGGAAGAAGGGAAAGAGATAATAGAGAGGAAGTTAATAACATAAGGGAGATGAGGTAGAGACCGGTGACACACAAGGATAGACATGTTCCATTATGTACATATTTGATGAAAGTACTGCCAGGTTACTACAGGATATTTCGTAATCAGTTATAAATCCGGTCAGAATATAAACAAAGTACTGCACGTAGCAAGAGACAACACAATGATAGTTTATATTGCAACTGTGTTATTTACACAGAGAGCATTATGAAAGCCTTGTTGACTATAATTTTAACGATGACTGTGAGCAAATAATGATATCTTCATTCCGTGATTCCTGACGGAGGTAGAGATCTTTTTAACTCAAACAATACTGTTCCTGATCACAAGTAATGACCCGATTTTAAGCTCAATATATCTAGATTAAATGAAAGAGTTCACAGAAATAGATTAACATGTACACAAGTGTTTATGTGTACATATCAAGGTCAAGCAATAAAGTAAGGATTTAATACCTCCACCTGCAATTGTACTTTGTACAGTAAATATAACCATAAAGATTACTTACACGCATCAAAACTTAATGATCAACAAGATAAATAGCGGACAAGATTTATGACCACCCTGCCTTAATAATAAGAAGAAGCAAAGAGTGCTCTAAATTTACTCTTATTAACAAATGTTTGGTTTCATCCCATTCAGATACGGCGAAACGGTCTAATGCCAACATATTTATTAAAACTTGAGATGCTTGAGATCATGAAAAACAACCCAAACAAGGATTGTGAATGAATCTGGTCATTTTAGTGCTTGGATTGGATTAACCACATTTACACTTTCATTTTAAATGGTGCTGCTGTTCTGTTTTCACACATCAATGAAATATGATGAAGTGCAATGAAATAAAATATAGAATATAATAACAATAAAATAAAATACTATTTAATAAAATAAATTCTACCTCTTCTGATGAAAAAATAACCCTTATGGTAAACTTTACTTTTTTCAAACTGAATACATGCAACTAAAATACTGAAATTAATTAATAATGTGTATGTCTTATATTTTTATCGGTCCTATAATCTGATGGTATCGTGGGTCGTCGGAATCGTGAAACTTGTGTAAATTCATTTTGTATTTTATATCTTCTTATTTACATCTTTACTTTATCAGTCTATTGCGCTGTTAGTATCCTGGACTGTCGGCCTTGTGGGCTGTCTGTTTCAGGGACATACAAACTATTTTTATTTTGTTTTATTTATTTCTTCATTTATTCATTTATTTGCTTGCTTGCTAAATTGTGAGTTAGTAGTGAAAAGTCGTTCCTCCTAGCCTGGTGGACCCCCTAAAAGCTTGTACGGATATGTTTCTTATAATCAAGTATCTAAAGTATTAGGAAGAGAACATATAATATTGTATACCAGTCTACGAAAATGAAGAATGGGGTGGATAAGTGGGCTATGTGACGAGTGCAAAACGAAAGGAAAAACATTTAAACAGATTCGTCAAATATTTGATATGACATATTCAAGATAATTTAATCTATTAACCAATAAATTAATAAATCAGATAACGGGGCCGAATCTATTCGATTGAAATATTTATACTGATTGATTGTCATAATGACCTCTGACACAATTTTTGAAATACAAATACAAATTATGGAAAATGATTAACCACTGAATAAACCCATGAAAAGACAAAGGTCAAATTACACCCGTAAAAACTTCGTTAAAAGTTGAGCTCTTGGGACCAAATTTGATCGATAACATACATCACGAGACAAATAAAGGCGTTGTCAAAACGTTCCTACCAGATATGCTATGAGTACACGCCATTATTTACTTTAAACTCCTAGCACTTGGTTTGGTGCGCCATTCTCCTGCAAAGTTTCGACATCTTTTCAGGACTGGGCTGTTGACGTCTCTCCCGCTAGATTAAAGCACGGCTGAGGACACTTCTATACACGAGCGATCTATTAGAAGTAAGTATTCTGAAAATTACTTGGGTAATTATAATCTGAGAAGAAAATTGCATATCAAATATGTTAAAGTGTTCATTTGTTATAAGATATGGTCGCTGCAGGCGAAAGTGCTAAACTTGCTTCGATATAATCAGGGCGGAAAGTTGTAAACAGAGAATAGATTGATTGCCTTTCGTTATCTTTCTGTTGGGGAAAGCACATCATGAACTCCTTTATAATTTATATAATTATTCTTTTCTTTTTCTTATCGTATGTAATATAATGAATCATTATAAATTTAATTAAATAGTGAAAGGCATAAACCTATAAGAAACAGAACTGACCAGGGCTCTGAGATTAGCAGAGCTTGTTGCATTGCGATCCCTTTCTGATGTTTATCTTTATATTTTACGCGCTACAGGGTGATTCCACCATGGGGGTGAATACTGATGGCGAGGAGATTGATCCAGGATCAACAATAACAGACGGACTGGAAGTAAGCAAAATTTATGTTTATGATTAAGCATTTTAAAAGGTTTACTCATAAAAGTCTAAAGGAAATTATATTGCTGTACTAATTACGAGGTTATAAAGGTCAATTTGTGGTAACCGTTTTTCCCCCTTTTTTGCCATGGTGACCGGGCCCGTCGCCCCCTGTGGATCCGCGCCTGGTCGTCTATCGAACTTTAAAAACAATTGTCAGACGGACCGCGAGACCAAAATGTTCGGTCTCTTGTGTGTTGTTCTGATGTGATATGATTATAGATTAAATGGTCAGTGAGCCACAAAATAGAACATTTGATTCAGTTCATGTCGACAGTAAGTAAAGCTATGGTCACAACTGTAGCCTGCTCGGTCGCCGCTGGAATTTAGGCATCGCCCAACGAGCAGGCTGTAGAACCCCAGCGATGCCTGGGCGGTGCCCCGTCGATTTCCCGTCGGTCGCCGGTCGATTTTAAGTCAAAACTGGGCGAAATCGGGGAGCTTCTCCGGGCGGCGTCCCGGTAGTGACCGACTGATGACTTTCCGATTCCCGAGCGTTCTCCCACCGGCCATCGGAAGATTTTAGAGAAATTCCCCTGGTGGCCAGCTGGTGATCGGCGGGACACCAAAATACGCTCGGTGCCCCGGCGCACAGTGGGCCAGGGAGGAACCAAAGTGCGCCAAAACTCATGTTTGGAGATTTATTTTTTATAAATCCAGAGGAAATGTTTGGATTTCCGGGGATTTTCGCTTAAATGTTATTACCAACATTCTCTCTGATGTCTAAGCTTTAAGTTGATACCAGATTTGGCTGCCCAATTCTGCCCGTTATTATGTTACAGCCGTTTTCCTTGCAACATTGCCCCGAAAAATGTGTTATTTTGGTCCGCGGTGTCAGAACAAGTGTCACGCGCCCCTCGCTCCGTGATTTATGACCACGAATCCTTCATGATTCAGCCGCGGACCAAAAAACCCCACATTTTTCGGGGCAATGTGGCAAGGGAAATCGGCTCTAACATAACAACGGGCAAGATCGGGCAGCCAAATTTGGTATCAACTTGAAGCTTAGACATCAGAAAAAATGTTAGTATTAAAATTCAAGCGGTACACCGCAGAGATCTAAACATTTTTTCTGGATTTATAAAAAACATCGATAATTAGTCCATTTTTCAGTGAAATACCCTATACTATATCATGAAGATTGTGTTTTTATTAATTTTAACCCATTTATTCAACGAAATGAACTATCAGAAATATGTGAGATCAATTTCATATCAATAACTCATGTTGAATTGTAAGATTTATAAAATAAGTCAGTTTTGCACTAAAACTGTGAATATGTAGGATTTTGCTGTTTGAAGTAGTAAATTTATACCCTTATTGTGCATACCGGAATTAAATATTTCACTGAGGTATTCCTCTATGTATTACCTTTCAACTGGGCAAGAAAAAAATTGAAAAAAAAAATCACCCTAACTTAGTTTTGGCGCACTTTGGTTCCTCCCTGGCCCACTGTGCGGCGGTCGCCGCCCGGGCACCGACCTAATCATATAGCTCCGAATAGTCTCATTTTACAACGTCCCCTATCGTCAGAGTCAAGCAGCCTAACCGTGTGTTAGCATTTGGACTTTTACCAAACAAATCGTTAAAAATTCATATTTTGTTAAACGAAAAGCACATCCACCCCGACGTACGTAGACACTAGCTCTTTCATTGGAAACCTCATGTCCCATTGCCTTTTGAAAGTTCACCCACCGTAATTTGATCAAAATAGGTCGCAAGCTCGCCATTGCATATATAACGCATGTGTAACAAGTTGAACTTTGGACGCAATTTACCACGCGATTGTAAGATTATAGGTCAAGCTCACGAAGGATAACAAGCATGAACTAGACCTGCTATCGTGGCACAACGATATGCGTGCAATGACGGGCGATGCGGCACTAACGGTCGTCTACACTAACATAATCATAAACAGTATAAAATGGTGTCTAAAATGCAATTAACTCACAATTGTTTGTGTGAACATATACCATACTTGGTATCATTCGAAAGGACACTTCATTGCGGTCAGTTTCACACAATTGTCATCTGCGCGCAATGTACTGCACGCATTAAAAGCACTATTATGTAATGCATTGTAAATTCATCATTTTGGGCGATAACTTTGCGCTGACATAACCGAATTTTACCAAACTTGATAGACAGTTGTCACGTATATGGATACATGTGTCTGCCAAGTTTTATTGACGTAGACATAAGGATCGTAATTTTAGAGCAAGTTGAAGTTATTTCGCAATTTTCTTGAAAACTGCATATTTGGAGGGCATTTTTCGCAAGGTCGGTCAGTGTTAGGGTATATAATTTTGCATTTGGCTGGAAGGGCATATCTTCAAGTATCTAAATCCAAAAAAGGGTACGGGTTTGCCAAGACACAATAAAGATACGGCCACAAAAAGAAAGCCAATTCTCAGAACTTTAGAGGGCGCTATGTATGTTTTGCATAGCCATTGGAGCGTAAAATTTGGCATGACTAGAAACGATTTAAAGTACCGTATGCGGGCACCTCTCCGCCGAATGTACATGAATACAAAATTATATATTCGGTCATGGCATTGATACAAAAATGTGAGGCTATTCGGGTCTCCCGTTGCCCTTATTTATCATGTTTCTAAATGTAATTAGTGTGGTAACAATGTAATTTCGAAATGTAAGATATAATATAGATTCGGGCGCCTTGCTGTCAAAATATCGTCAGCGAGCGGAAAAGAAAAACACTGTATTACCTTTAACATTTTATTTTCCATTGTAATTACAATACTTTACCCGTTTCTGATATTTGTTTTTCACATAATCAACGTGTTCCGCTGCTCTGGAGTCAAAAAATAAAATAACATGAATATACCAGAGAGCGGATATTTATTTTCTTTTGACTTAGCACCCTACATGTAATTTGAAGGCAATTTCTATTTCAAAATAAATTACTTTACAAGAAAACATATTTTACAGCATGACAACAGAAATATATATATAACGTGAAGAAAACCTTAATTTTGGGTCATGAATGAGGGCCCATTATACATACAACCTCAACCCCCCCCCCCCCCCATCGAATTTAATAATTTGAAAAGACGATAATGAACTTCATAAATAACTAAGAAAAATAAAAATTCAAGAATTTTTTTGCAAATATAAATTTAAAGAGAAGCTCGCGGTATACATGTACGTTAGAGTGTTGCAAATTCCTCGGGGTGATTGTCCTTGGGGGTAGGTGTCCTTGGGGGTTATTATCCTCTGAGTTAATTGTCTTCGGGGGTAATTGTCCTCGGGGTAATTATCCTCGGGGGTATGTAATTGTCCTCGGGGGTAGTTGTCATCGGGTGTAATTGTCCTCGGGGGATAATTCTTCGGGGGGTAATTGATCCCCGACCAGTTGTTTATTATTGCCGATTAATAACCAAACAATTACTGCTAGACCATTCGTAAATATCTCCAGCTTTAAAACCTCACATTCTCAAGAAAGATGAATAGGGATAAATCAATTTTTCACATACTTTAACAATAACAACTCTTGTTGAGGTTATGAATAATTTAGTTGTGAACTATATGTATGAAGATGATAAGGTGGAAACCTTGCGTACCTTTCCATTGTTTCAGCATCTAGGTTATACATGTGACTTTCTTACAATTCTGTATATCAATCATTTGAATAATTGACCATAGCTCTCACATACATGTGCAGTATAACGATTTCTTTGATTTCTCTGTCACGAGGGGGGGGGAGCAAGTAATTTATTTTTCTCTCGAAATTCAAAAGGTTAATCAAAAAAATGCTGAGCATGAGGTAATTCATTTCTGCAAAATTGTAATTGCAAGTCCTAAACAACTTTGTTAAAATATTCGACCGCATTGGTCTTCTGACCTTTATCTTGTCTTATTTCGTAAATAAAAGTTCAATATAATGGAAAGGAATTGTAATTATAATCTTTTTGGGGGGGGGGCCGAATCATACTCATATTGTTTGTACTGTATCTGTGCAGTGAGTTTATTTCACTACGTATCGTTAAGGTCGATGTTTTTTCTAAGAGATGTGTTCCTTAATATCCATGCATAATCTATATATTGATCTCTATTCTCTATGTTTATAGAGGTTCCAGATTTATATCTCAATTCATGTCAAGGGCTCTAATATTGCCGCTTTCTCCAAGTGCAGGCAATTATAATTAGACGAGATTACGCTTAATGCAACCAATAATCTCAGTTCAGTCATGTTGATGTATTTAATAAAGGAGAAATATAAGTTGATATACTGTTAAAGGGAAAACAACATGACTAACAAGAAATATAAGATTGTTCCAGATTATGTCGCATTTTAACCCAATAATCTGATAGGTCTAAACGAATAATCATTGGGGACACAAACCCCTGTGAAGGTATGACATAATATCTGTGATGAGTTCTGTGTGTGGTTATTTTTGTTCAGCTCACTGAGAAAGCTTGCGAGTTTGTTCATCAACATGAAAATGAGGAGAGTCTCCCTCAAGACGCTGATTGTGACGTAGGAATTCAGGGTCAGAAACCGTAAGTTCTTTTAGTTTGTTATCAATCATCATCAATTAAACGGAGGCCTAGGTTATGACATATTTGTTATCATTGGTTACTATAACTTGTATTCGCGTAATTACATTAGCATATTAGTTAATAAAACGGAAAGAGGTTAAAGTGAGGGTAAGGTGAGTTAATAAAATTGTTATCAGCAATCTTAGATGATAACGATAGAGAAGGAGAGAAGAGGGTAAAATACAAAGAAAGAGGAAGAGAGTGAGAGAAAAAGAGCGGGAAAGTAGGGAAGAGAAGGGGAGAGGGAGAGAGAGAGAGCCGAAGGGAGGAGAGATGTCGTCTAGGATGACTATTATTTTATGAATAGAAAATAGAACGAATAATGATTAATGTATTCATGCTTAGACATCTTATCTCATCTCCATTGAGATCAGACATGATTTTTTTTTTTTAACCATTATGTGTAATTATTATGTATACTATTATAATGTTCATTGTACTTTACAAGTAGTCATGCCACGCATATCCCATATAAACTTTAGTTTTCGCACAACAGTCAATTTCCATTTAATTTTAATTCTACTCTCCTATTAGATGAAACGCGGTATGATCGACTTACTTCCCTATAAGACTCCATTCTATTTTTGAAAACTATCCGCTTAGTTGGATGCTTGTTTACGGTAGCCCTTTTATTAAAGGTTTGATTTCATAACGCTCACAAACTGTTTGTGTGGTTGTGTTGAAGAGCTTTAAATTTTGTCTTTGTCTTAATTAAATAGTTAATAAGGTATCAATACGTAGCAAGGAACTTAAAATAAACCCGCCCCCTCTTCTCCTCCGAAGATAGTGTCAGACTCAAATGAGATCATGCAATGTATTTTCTATTTTCAATCGCGTATCATTCCATTGATTTGACCTTCATTTAAATTCGAACAAGTATACATTGGCATGACGTAAAGGGTTCAACAAGTTTAGGTGCTAGATTCCATTTTAGGGACTTTTAGATTTGCGTGGACTGATACGTATTGACGTCCATTCAAGGCAGTGCATTAAAAGGACGTCGATCGTAGCAATCCACGTTGTCATTGTGCAAATCTAAAAGTCCCTAATATCACTTCGAGGACAGCAAAAGAAATATGCCTTTTGTTTTAGGGTTGATGGACCAAGGATACCACGGATCTCATCACTGCAACACATACGACCACAGCAGACATCAGCTGTCTTGAATACTGAACACGATGAAACGCAGGAAGAGCATACAGATGGAGAGAGAAATGTATCTTCTAATACGCCTACATCACAACGACATGACGCAGATATAGAGGACGAAAATACAGAGCTGTCACACGGCGCTCTTGTAGATTTGAATACCAACACATCTGCTGATGACAAGTGCCTCAAATTGGAAGAATGCACATTTTCTATGCAGCCAGGAGAAATCATGGAAATCTTAGAGCCTGATACCAATGATGATTGGGATGCAATGTATAACGCACTACTGAATGAAATATCTCCGAGTGATGCAAGTGCGTTCAAACTAGAACTACCATTCAACCCCGACATAGAACAGATGGATGCGGAAGGATACACACAGCTCTACAGGGCAGCTTTTGAAGGTCATCTCGAAAGTGTTGATGATCTCATTTCACGGGGAGCAAACCCAAATAACCCAAGTCAGGATGGACTCCGTCCTCTTCACGCAGCGGCTCATGAAGGTCATGCACAAATTGTTGACGTCCTCATCCTGCAGGGAGCAGACGTAATTGTTGAGTGTGACTTGGGTCAGACACCTCTTCATAAAGCGGCTGCAAGAGGTTATGTTGACATCTTAGAGAGCTTCATTGCAGACGAACCTAACGTGAACATGGAAGATCACACAGGATGGGCTCCATTCAATGCTGCCGTTCAGTATGGCCATCTAGAAACCGTCAAATATCTCATGACTCAAGGAGCGAAGCAGAACAGATATGATGGAATGACTCCACTCTATGCCGCAGCAAAATTTGGTCATTTAGACCTCGTCAAATTCTTCATTACCAAAGGAGCTGATGTGAATGAAGGAAATGAAAAGGGGAAAATTCCCCTCCACAGTGCAGCCGCTAGGGGTCACATGAAAATTGTGGAATATCTCATTCAGCAAGGATCCACTGTGAACAAGGGTGATGCCAAGGGTTGGACGCCCTTCAATGCAGCAGTCCAGTATGGCCATCTTGAAGCCGCCAAATATCTCGTGACTGAGGGGGCAAAGCAAAACAGATATGCTGGTATGACCCCACTCTATGTAGCTGCAGAATGGGGTCATTTAGACATCGTCAAATTCTTCATATCCAATGGTGCTGATGTGAATGAAGAAGATGAAGACGGGATAATTCCTCTCCATGGTGCAGCTGCTTTGGGTCACTCGAAAGTCGTTCAATATCTCATTCAACAAGGATCCGATGTGAACAAGAAAGATAACACCGGATGGACGCCATTCAATGCTGGCGTTAGGTGTAGTCTTCTAGAAGACACCAAATATCTCTTTCATAAGAGAGCGAAACAGAACAGGTATGATGCATTAAGCTTAGATCAATTTGATCTCGACAAAGACCTCATTTCTAAAGGAGGTAATGTCAACGTAGAACATTACGACGGGATAAGTCCTCTTCACGATGCAGCTGTTTTGGGTCACGTGAAAGTCATGGAATTTCCCATTCAACAAGGGTCTGATGTGGACAAGAAAGAGAACACTGGATGGACATCATTTATTGCTGCTGTTCAAGAGGGCCATCGCGTAGCTGTCAAATATCTCATAACTGAAGGAGCGGAAGAGAACAGATATGATAAAATCACCCCATTTTGTGCAGCTGCAGAATTTGGTCATTTCGACATCGTCAAATCCATCATATCCAATGAAGTTGATGTCGGCGAAGAAAATGAAGAAGAGATGATTCCTTTCCTTGCTGCTGCTATTTGTGGTAATGCTGAAGTCATTGAATATCTCAATCAACAAGAATCTGATGAGAACAAGAGTGATTCCGAGGGTAATACATTATTAAATGCTGAAGTTCACTATGGCCATATAGAAGCTGTCAAATATGTCGTTACTGAAGGAGTAAAGAAGGACAGATCCGCCAGAGAGAACCCGCTCAATACCGCAGCAGGATTTGGTCATTTAGACATCGTCAAATTAATCATATCCAATGAAGTTGATGTCGGCGAAGAAAATGAAGAAGAGATGATTCCTTTCCTTGCTGCTGCTATTTGTGGTAATGCTGAAGTCATTGAATATCTCAATCAACAAGAATCTGATGAGAACAAGAATGATTCCGAGGGCTGGACTCCATTCAATGCTGCTGTTCAAAATGGTCATTCAGAGGCCTTCAAGCTCCTTCACGGCGCAGCTGCTCGGGGTCGCATGAAAATCATTGAATATCTCATTCAGCAAGGGTATGATGTAAACAAGGCAGACGCTAAAGGTTGGACGCCATTCAATGCTGCAGTTGGATATGGCCGTAAGGAGGCTGTTAAGTATCTCGTAAGCAAAGAAGCTAAGCACAACATGTGCCTTAGAAGGACCCCACTCTGTGCTGCAGCACGATTTGGTGATTTAAACATGGTCAAATTCCTCATATCCGAAGGAGCTGATGTGAACGACGAAGATGAAACAGGCGAGATTCCTCTCCACGGTGCAGCTGCTCGAGGTCGCTTGGAAGTCATGGAATATCTCACTCAGCAAGGATCTGATGTGAACAAGAAAGATAAAACTGGGTGGACTCCATTCAATGCTGCCGTCCGACATGGCCATCTAGAAGCCGTCAAATATCTTATGACGACAGGTGCAAATCAGAACAGATATGACGGCAAGACGCCACTGTGTGTCGCAGCATATTTTGGTCATTTGCAAATCGTGGAATACTTCATTTCCAATGGTGATGATGTGAACGCAACAGATGACAGAGGTCTGACTCCTCTCCATGGTGCAGCTTTACGAGGCCACGTTGAAGTCATGGAATTTCTCATTTTGCAAGGTTCTGATGTTAACAAGTCAGACGCTACAGGTTGGACGCCATTTTATGCTGCAGTTCGATATGGCCGATTAGACGCTGTCAAGTATCTCGTGAATAAAGGAGCAAAGCAGAACATGTGTCTTAGAAGGACCCCTCTTTATGCTGCAGCACGATTTGGTTATTTAGACATCGTCAAATTCCTCATGTCCAAAGGAGCTGATGTGAACGAAGAAGATGAAACAGGGAAGATTCCTCTCCACGGTGCAGCTGATCGAGGCCACTTGGAAGTCATGGAATATCTCATTCAGCAAGGATCGGATGTGAACAAGGGTGATGCCCAGGGTTGGACTCCATTCAATGTTGCTGTTCAATACGGCCATCTTGAAGCCGTCAAATACCTCACGACTAAAGGAGCGAAGCAGAACAGATGTGCTGGTATGACCCCACTCTATGCCGCAGCAAAACTTGGTCATTTAAACATCGTCAAATTCTTGGTGTCCAAAGGAGCTGATGTGAACGAAGAAGATGATGAAGAGAAGATTCCTCTCCACGGTGCAGCTTCTCGAGGCCGCAAACAAGTCATGCAATATCTAATTCAGCAAGGATCTGATGTGAACAAGGATGATGCCAAGGGTTGGACACCATTCAATGCTGCCGTTCAATATGGCCATCTAGGAGCTGTCAAATACCTCACGACTAAAGGAGCAAAGCAGAACAGATGTGCTGGTATGACCCCACTCTATGCCGCAGCAAAACTTGGTCATTTAGACATCGTCAAATTCTTGGTGTCCGAAGGAGCTGATGTGAACGAAGAAGATGACAAAGGGGTGATTCCTCTCCACGGTGCAGCTGCTCGAGGCCATATAGAGGTCATGGAATATCTCATTCAGCAAGGATCTGATGTGAACAAGGATAATGCCAAGGGTTGGACACCATTCAATGCTGCCGTTCAATGTGGCCATCTAGGAGCCGTTAAATACCTCACGAGTAAAGGAGCAAAGCAGAACAGATGTGCTGGTATGACTCCACTCTATGCCGCAGCAAAACTTGGTCATTTAAACATCGTCAAATTCTTGATGTCGGAAGGAGCTGATGTGAACAAAGAAGATGATGAAGAGAAGATTCCTCTCCACGGTGCAGCTTCTCGAGGCCGCAAACAAGTCATGCAATATCTAATTCAGCAAGGATCTGATGTGAACAAGGATGATGCCACGGGTTGGACACCATTCAATGCTGCTGTTCAATATGGCCATCTAGGAGCTGTCAAATACCTCACGACTAAAGGAGCAAAGCAGAACAGATGTGCTGGTATGACCCCACTCTATGCCGCAGCAAAACTTGGTCATTTAGACATCGTCAAATTCTTGGTGTCCGAAGGAGCTGATGTGAACGAAGAAGATGACAAAGGGGAGATTCCTCTCCACGGTGCAGCTTCTCGAGGCCACATGAAAGTCATGGAATATCTCATTCAGCAAGGATCGGATGTGAACAAGAAAGATAACACTGGGTGGACTCCATTCAATGCTGCCCTTCAATGTGGCCATCTAGAAGCCGTCAAATGCCTCATGACTGAAGGAGCGAAGCAGAACAGGTATGCTGGTATGACTCCACTCTATGCCGCAGCAAAACTTGGTTTTGTAGACATCATAAAACTCTTCATTCACGAAGGAGTCGATGTAAACGAGGAAAATGATACAGTACGGATTCCTCTCCATGGAGCGGCTATCCACGGTGACACTGAACTCATGAAATATCTCATTCAACAAGGATCTAATGTAAACCAGAACGATGCCATGGGTTGGACTCCATTGAATGCTGCTATTCAATATGGTCAACTCGAAGCTGTCCAATACCTCGTGACTCAAGGAGCGAAGCAGAACAGATATGATGGAATGACCCCACTCTATGCCGCAGCACAATTTGGTCATTTAGATATCGTCAAATTCTGTATATCCAATGGTGCTGATGTGAATGAAAAAAATGACAAAGGGATGCTTCCTCTCCAAGGTGCTACTGCTCGAGGCCACATCGAGGTCATGGAATATCTTATTCAACAAGGATCTGAGGGAAACAAGACCAAGGATGATGCCAAGGATCGGACTACGTTTTTTGCTGCTGTTCAAAATGGCCATCTCGAAGCTGTCCAATACCTCATGACTGAAGGAGCGAAGCAGAACAGATATGATGGCATGACCCCACTCTATGCCGCAGCAAAACTTGGTCTTTTAAACATCGTCAAATTCTTGATGTCCGAAGGAGCTGATGTGAATGAAGAAAATAATAAAGGGATGCTTCCTCTCCACGGTGCAGCTGCTCGAGGCCACATCGAGGTCGTGGAGTATCTAACCCAGCAAGGTTCTGATGTCAACAAAAAAGATTTCAGAGAGTGGACCCCATTAGATGCTGCAGTCAAAAACGGCCATCTAGAAATTGTCAAATTTCTTATGGCGAAAGGATCAGAGGGTACCACGTTTGACGGATTGACCCTACCTCACATTGCAACACAATATGACCATGCTGAGTTGGTAGAATTTATTGTTACCAATGGATATGATGTGAACGACAGAAGCGAATGCGGCAAGTCCCCTCTTCATGCAGCATGTTATGGATGGTCACCACATCATGCCACTGCACAAGAAGAACGCCAAGAAAATCACCTTACATTGAATGGAGCAGACATGAACGCGAAGGACATAGATAGTTTGACACCCCTTCAGGCAGCTGTAAATGCCGGCCATGCCCATGCAATAGAAGTCATCTCACCACATAGAGGTGACCCGGATCAAGAAGAAACAGGAGATCCAAGATCTGGAGGCCACCATAATCTCATTAGCAAAGGATATGTGACGGTATCACTGAAAAATGCAGACACGCAGTCACGTATAGGACAGTTAGCATCTCAGGTAGATAATGGAGAGGATGAGAATGACTGCACTCAAGCTGATATTGCGAAGAGAGGATCCGATGAGCTCTCCTTGAAGTATCTTTCCACGAGGACCCATGATGATGATGGTCAGGAGCACAATCCTTTCATTCAGGCTAAGCTGAAATGTCCTGACAAAAGTGAAAAAGATCCAATGATATGTCTGAGAAAAGCAATGAAGTGCCCAGTGCCAGGGGAAGGAGACACCATAACACATGGCACAGACCGCTCTTCCCCGCATGGACCTCAGACAGGGCAATACAGCGGATTCGACCCACCCTTTCTACAAACCGTGGAGAGTGACAGTTGTCCGTCTAAAAGATCGGAATCTAGATGTCACTCATCAATTGACGAAAACAGGCAAATGAGAGTGAGTGATTATTAAATGTTTAACTTTTCTCTTAACAAAGCATATATTTAATTGAATTTTTGAATAGCAAAAGATATTGGCATATGCAGATATGTTCGGAAGCAAACATTCAGCCAATTAAATGTCATGATATAGATGAAAAACAAATATTCGTAGAAAGCAAATTAATGATCTTTTGTATATAGCCCTGTGGTAAAGATCCGTTATATATTTTGATTCCAACACACTTTTGCATGGGAAAAGGACTCAAATTCTCAAAAGTTACATGGAATGCAATTATACACATTCGTCAGTTATTTATGTTGTGAAAAACAATAACGTGTTCATTCTGCATGTACTTTAAAACTTTTCTTACTTGTTGTTTTGTCTAATTTCTCCTAAAGCATCCGTGAAAATCAAAAATAATTGTCGCCAAACTGTCTCCTTAGTTTATATCCTTTCACAGCACTCCACTGATAATATGACATATTCTATGATGTAATTGATTTTTTTTTTCCCGTCAGGAATCTTCTTCACCGCTGAATGCTGGAAATGATCTGACAACCAACGAAACATCAGTAAAGCTTGAGAGGTACTAGTCACTTCCCGTTTCTTTTATATGTGGAAACCTGATCGTTTAACGAGATGTATTTAGTGCATTTTTTCGGTTCACAATAATATTCATAACTATTGTGTATATTCTTCATAACGTAAATGAATAATCGATTACGAAAACATTATTATGTATTACCTGCCTTGACTTAAGAAGCTAGGGAACGGTGAAGCAAGACCTGATGTAGTCCCCAGGGAACTGTTGAAGTCGATATTTTAAATCTAGGTTTTTTTCCTTTGGTTTTATGTGGGCTTTCTGCAATGAAAATGTACGTCTATTTGTAAACATTCATACATATATTTGTATATTACAGAGATTTTTAAAATCTTTTCTTGATAATGGGCAAGAAATATCATCATCTGAGTAGACGCTACTAGGGACCCACTTTGATTGGCTTATTTTGGTCTTCCCTCACACCAGGTAATTCTAATTTCTCCAATTATATTCAACAGCTTCCCTACACACCCACCAGCTGTCGTTCACCAAAAGTTGTCTAACCGAAACCCAGTCTCCGCCCAAAGAACCTCCTCAAACCAAGTTTGGAAAATCGGGGTAAGAGAGAAGTATTGCTTCCATTTATCATTTCTAACTTACTTGATGTTAAAGTAATGAAATATTTTAACAAGCTTATGATAACAATGGATTATAGTTCTGCATTTGTGCAAAACAAAATGTATATGAGAATTTGTTTTGAAAGGACACTACCAGTATATTTATATTATATTTGTGAGGAAAGAATCGATCATTAACCCTTATCAGTAGCTTTAATGATGAGTAAACCGACGAAAGGAACCTTTATGATTTATAGAGGAAGGCTTTTCGATGAAATAAGCATTTGCTCTTGCCATTCATTAGTTCAACATTTGTTAATCGTTTTCGGGCGATTAGAAAATAACATCATTTAATCATTCCCATATATTGAGAAATATCAGTTGTTTCCTCTTGAAACATTGAACATCAGCGTTGAATGGTGTCCTTCCCCCCTCCCCCAATCTGTATTGTTCCTTGCTGAATGAGATATTCCATGACTTTGTCAAATGTCAACGACGTTCTCGTTCAAACTCATACTCTTTTGATTTAGACCAAACTTCAAACATCGGTTGACCGGTGTCCTTCAATCCCGGCCCTCTTACAAACTTTCCTGCAGATGATTATCGCTTTGGCCATCATTCTTGCTGGAAGTCCGGTTCTCGTAGCAGGTAGCGACAGCACAGGACGGGTCACGCTACAAGCAGGTAAACCTGGTGTGGTTCCATTTCATCTCCAATGGCCACCTAGTGACACATTCCAGGGTGTTCCATATTTCACACTTCGGTTCGAATCCAAATCTCGTCCATTTTGCATTAATGGAGAAACTGATATCGAGGGCTTTAAAAACTCATCCCAGATACGAAGATTTTCAACCTCAGTCACAGATTTAGATACTTCTCCTTGCGTGAATCTGATGATAGATACAGTTGATACTGTAGACGAGGATGAGTACGTCTTAACGGCAGTCTGGCGTAGTTTTGAACACAATTGGTATGAAACTGTAAAGAAGGAGATTAATGTACAAATACCCCCCGGACCTGCAAAATGCTTCATAAATTTAAGTAAAAACAGTAATTGTCCGTATGAAGTGCATTGTCGAGCTACTTCTGGTAGTGTTAAAACCACATTATCATGTTACCAGAATGATCGAAAGATTGACGTCAAGGGTGAAATTACAGATAATGGGCTAATTACCAGAGGTATATTCTGGCTACCCGATAACACTCAATTCTCTTGTTGCTCACACGATGAAACGTGGCATGTTAGTGAAGCAATGTGCGATGACTCCAAGTGGCCACCTGGCAAAGGAACTACAAAACAGAGTGTTAATACTGTACCTACATCGGCTACTACCAACATCAGCAGGCCTGCCAATGAACACTCTAGAACCACTTCCACACCCCAAATTGAATCCCATTTAGAGTCAGGGGCTGGTAGGCAATTCATGCTTCCTTCTCTGTGGAACTTCACGTACCTGTTCATATACCTCCTCGCCTTTGTCACAATGTACTAAATACACAATCTTTACATAGTCATGTGGTATCACTTTCTTGTTTTTCGTTTCATAAAATAGCATAATACTGACAGGTAAATCCTGAACTATATTCCAAGACCTGGCGGTTTATCATCATTCGAATTCGAATTTCATTAAAAAACGGATAAAATATACGATGTTATAAATACTATTCACATTATTTGCTTAAGCTCATATACATGTTTTTATATCAAAGGAATTATACATTTGCATACCTTTCAATTTGTTGTTATTTTCATGTAAGCTTGGTTCGGTTTTTTATTCTTCAATGCTTGAGAGAAAATATTTAACATCGATGGCATCCATTTTATCAGCATGTCGATTTGGCAAAGACCATTAAAACAGTTTGAAATTAAGATGTCTTGTCAGAATTCATTTACGTATAGCTTTTAAAATATTAAACACACGAAGGTCTTGGCTTGGTTTGCCGTATGTGAAGCAAATCTGAATTTATTTTCATTTGTTGTCGTTATAAATACGTCGAGATAATTGTTTGACTTATTGAATACATACATACATTTAAGTTATCGTGACAATGGTGTGAATTGTGGACTCATATATACACACCTGTATGTCATTTCAAATTCGGAGACGCACATTTGTGTTGAGAATTTCCTGCATAACCGAGAACCTACATTTTACATGTAAACGGAGGACCTAAAATAACCTACCCCTTATGAAGGAGCATTTGAACGGGTTATAAAACCGATAACGTCATCGATTTTCTTTTTAAATGTACAATTCGTATGAGTGTTAGCGCACACATAATAGTTAAACTCCGCTGTTATGTAGCGTTTAATACATCGACGATGTCTCTAAGCACTTTAAAGATATAATTAACCCGGTCACCGGATTCAGGCACACAATGTATGAACATTCTCCACTCCCTGGGTAGGCGTCATTTTACAGACGCTCATAATGCTGAGCAAACTACAATAACGTTCGCATCCTACCGGATACCCATTTAACACCTGGGTGGAGAGTGGTAAATGTAGATTAACGTCTTGCCAATGGACGTTAGTGCCGGGCTGGGATTTGAACCCCGTATCTTGTCCACTAGACCACAACACCTCTACAACACATACACGCCCACACATATAGTAGGAGAATATTGACGTATATAATTCCCTCTGGTGTGACTTATAAATATATAAATTATGTCTTTTCTAATCACATCACAGAGGTGCATAGACCCGATATTAGAGGTAAATATACCAACATGTATTTCGTTAATGAAAATGGGTTAAATGTTACATTGTTGAAGTGATTAAGAGCTCTTACGTAGAGCAGTTGAGTCTTTAAACAAATTAAAACATAAACTAGACATTTGTCTTTATTATTTACCTGCATGTACATCATTACATGTGAATTGAACACGACTGAACAATATATTATTTTGCAAACACAGTCCTTTTATAGTGCATACTGTGGTATTTCTTTTAAAACTAAAATTATATTTCTTTCTGTTAATACATCGGCATTATGTTATCCATGATATTTTGAGTTTCTTCAAATTCGTTTTTCATACCGGTATGTACTCTCCTCTTTAAGCTTTAACATATTTTTTTTAATGTGAATACCTGAAAAATATATGTTATTCTACATTAATAATGATTATTCTAATATTCTAGAAAGATCAAGGTCATTCATAATTTTTAATTCAAACGTATATATCGGTACTTTATGGAATACTTAGGAATAATTTTCTTGTAAATAATGAGTACAATAAATGTGTTTCAGCAGGATTATATGTATATTTTGTAAACCTTTTGAAAAGTATAGATTAGATTTTACCTTTTTAAAAGGGACATGTTTTACAGCATACCTGTATAGCCTGTTCTTTCAGAATGGCTTTTATTAAAGTAATGCAGAGTGTGATGTAATAAAGGCAACGACTTGATTTAGATTACGTCTAGTATATACACTGTATTTCAGAAAGGAAATATATGTATCACAATTTGTTAATCTTTGAATTCTTAGGCCCGTATTCTGAAGTCGTGTCTAACTCCTGTTTAACTAAACAGTTGTCTAAGTCCTGTCGAAGTCCCGTCTAACTTTAGTCACGAAGTCGTGTCTAACTCTTTTGGTATTCTGAAGTCGTGTTTAAATAAAGTTAAACACGAAGTCCTGTCTAAGTCCTGTTTAACTTTAGACAACTGCGAGGGGTTGTGTCCTGTTTAAGGACGCGATTCTGCTGCTTTTCAACGTCGAAGGTAAACTCTACTAGCTGACCCCGAACTTGCTGGGGAGAACGATGGTACGTGCATCCTCAAATACGTTTTGCAGGATTTTTTTCTCGTGTAGCCTAAAAAAAAATTCTCGATAATATTAACTATTCTTATCTACTGGTGACATCTTGGAAATTCCATAATCTATAATAAGCTAACCTCCGAGCACTGAGACACTGATAAGTGATATTATTAGTGTGTTTGTCAATGCAATACGTACGTTAAGCGTTACGTACACACAGTACATGCAGTATAGTCATTACGTCACGATCACATCACCATGGTACCAGCACGCGCACAGCTAGCTGTGAGCGTTAATTTATTTATCCGGTGCGCGCACGCATGCGCATCGGGTCTATCGTCAGAATAAACGCCTACTGGGCATGCGCAGAAGTCTTGACTACAAGTTAAACACGACCTGCGCAGAACTTAAACAGTTGTTTAGTTAATGGTAGGTTCCCACTGCTGATCAAACCAACCCGACCAAGCCCGATCAAGCTATTTTGGCCTGGTCGGGCTCGGTCGGCAAGGGCAATCGGGATCGGTCTACCTTGATCGGGATTGGTCTACCTTGATCGGTATCGATCTGGCTTCCTACACGACAATATTTGGCATGTCAAAAAATATCGTGTAGGGGTCGAGAAGGCAAGCGATCGTACAGCGATCGTGTATTGGTCGAGAAGAGGTCGAGCT